GAATAATAAGTATTATTGGTCGTATTATATGTACTTAAATTTTAGATACTTGTACTACTTTTGAAATATTAATCTTGTCCTTCTTCTTTTCTTGTTTTGCAAGCAAACCTACATCTTCAACATTTCTCTACTTCGTTGTCAATCTTTTATTTTTTTCTTTGTTTTCAAGAAGTAATTCCATTTTTTCTTGTAATTCACCATTGGCTGCTTGAAGAAATAATTCATCCTTCTTTGGCTCTAATGTCAACTTTTTCACCTTTAAAAATTAAAAACATTATCATTTAAACTCCTTTAATAGGTCTATTGCTTATAAATTCTTATTAGGCCATTTATTCCATTTTAGAAATAATTTCTTAGTAACACGTTCAATATCTTCTAAAAAATATTTATCTTTTAATACATGTAAAAATATCTCATATGAACTTCCATAATGCTTCATAATTGATATAACATATTTTCGTATCTTTGGTTCTATGTCAAGTCCAAATAGCTCAATCATCTTCTTCTCAAAAATCCAATTTAATTCTATTTTCTACACACAACATCTTAGATACTTTGAAATGTCTCTTCTATCAAATTTATCAACCTTCGTAATCATTGCTTGCAATGCTTTGGTTGCCAAAGCTTCTTTGCAATCATTGCTTTTTTGTTGTTGCATAGACAATATAAAAGCTTAGAACATGCTTGCAATGATTGGATCCATTTCTATATATATATATATATATATCTTGTCCTTTAGTGGAAATTCCACTAACATCTCTATTTGAAATTCCTTCCATATATCCTTCAAAATTCTTGCTCTTATTATCCATTAAATAAAAATAATAAATAAATAAATTTCAATATCTCCTACCTTAAGCTTTTACATTGGATTCACCACTTATGTCGTATTAAATCCTAATAAAATCCTAATGAATTTTAAACCTATGAAAAATTTTAAACAAAATTCTAAGCAAATTTTAATCAACTATTAAATCTTAAACAAATTCTTAGCAAATTTTATAGCAAATTGAAATTTCAACAACTAATGATCAAACAATTGATATCAACTCAAAATTTGCGTATCTCTTAATATCTTAGTGAATAATAAGCAGAAGAAAGATGAAATCAATTGCACCAACTAATTGAAAGAAATGCAAGATAATCCAATCAAGTATTGAGTGGCCTCCTACTTCATTCTAAATGTTGAATTTTCAATGTCAATATCTCTATCTTGAACCATTGAATTATTATCAAATTTCATCTAAATGTTGGAAATTGAATCTAATATCCATGTAAAAAAATTATTTTAATCCAATTGACAGATTGTTGAAGATCTTAGAAATACTCACTCATCTTCAAATTCCAATTTTTGAGACTTCAACCCACAAAAACCCTCATATACTTCAATCTAATTATTCAATTGATTTTAAAATTTACATGCATATTTACAACTAGCACACCAATACTCTATTCAAATTAGTAAACATATTTTTATTTTTCAAATCCTTATCCCACCAAGAACATAATTAATTTTAAAAATCCTTCAAAATCTCAAGATTGTTTCAAATGACATGAAACTAATGCCTAAAAATCTTTCTTCTAGTCTCTTTTCAAATCCCACTCTTTAATCTACCAAAGAATCCTAAAGTCGCCATATAGGCATGGTTTTGTACCTTAGGATGTGATTTTGAGCTTGGTTGACGATTGGTCCTCTCTAGATATCAATTTTTGGTAATTTGAGGTAAGTTTTAATTTAATCTATTTTTAATTCTTTTTTAAATATGCTTATATCAATTTTTTATCTCATTTATTTTGATTTGGCTCATTAATACTTCTACAAAATAAATATAAGTTCTTTCTATAAAAAGTAACATTAAGACTAAGTCTTTTATTATTTATTTATTATTTATTCTTATTTTTTTATATCCTTCTACTAGGCTCTTCTATAATAAAATTTTTATTTTTATTTTTCACTATATAGTTGTATTACTCCACAATACCACATCTTAAACTTCCTCAACATTTGATAACCACTCTTTGTGGAACTTGTTCTTAAAAGGGGGAATAATGTTACAAACATACCTATAGTTATTCAAATAATATGAATAGATAGAAATGGATCAAAGTAGATTAATTTGATAATGTCTTATAGATAAGATTTTTAGAAGCTTTATAGATGTAGTTTCACCTTTATACATGTCTATAGGTGATTGATAGGTTAGAAACTTAGCCAACAAGTTAACTACATGTCACACATATTAGTATGTTGTGGTACAAGCTAACAACGTGGCACACATATAGAAAATTTATCTTGCAAGTTAAGACATGTATATTGGAAATTGAACATGTATTGGAGGTCTTATAGAACATTGTCATATAGCTTTTAGATAGATAGTATATATAGAACTAAGAATAAAGCCTTCTTTACTCTTGTCAACTCTTTTCTTACTTCTAGTCTAGTTTTAAGTATCTCTAGTTTTTTAGCCTTGGGCAATAACCATTTCAATTTCTTATTAAATATATTTACTTACTTATTTCTAATTTATTATCTTTCTTTTATTCATTTATCACTTATTTATATATTTTCTTTAAATACTTGTCCTTAACTTATATGTAGAGACAAAAATGAAGTCATTTCTATTCTTGTCAATACTTTTATTTTTCTTAGTCTTGTCTCAAGACATTTTAGTCTTCTTATCTTTGGCTATAGCTATTTTAGTTCTAATATTATATTAGAATGAATATCTACTCTCTTTAGGCAACATAAGAATATATTGATGTTTTAATTGTTTGTGATTTATGCCCTTGATATATAAGTGTAGAAATCTATTAAATTATTTTTTAAATTATCAAATTCATATTTTCAAATAAATATTCTATATTATCAATTATATACTTTTCTATCTTTCTCTATTCTAAAAAGTATCATAGATATTTGTTTCATTAGGTTTTTTTTCCAAATCTTCTACAGAATTCTCAGAATTAAAAATAATTTTTAGTATTTTTAAATTACGAATTGAAAAAATTAAACGTCAAACTAACCTATTTCAATTTGCCGAGGGAAGCATGGAAGCATCAAGCACCAAAAACCACACAAACCGAAGCCATCCAGCCTGCGAAGGAGCACCCGGATGCGTCCCGCAAAGCAGACAGACACGACGCGCTGACGCAGCCACCTTTATTCAAAAGCGAAAAAACACCAAAGTATCTACATCATGAGATTCTCGCCTACAACTGCATCATCATCATCAGCTAGGTATTTAACATCGTGCATGCCCCGCTCGGGCATGATCGAAACCACAACTTTATACACTGCACCCAGCGCAGCAGCATTGCAAAATACCGCCTCCTCTTCCACTATCCCACTTGCATCCCTTCAAATTCGAACTTCACTGTTTAAGGCTCCGGATTCGGAGGATACTTGCGGGGGCGACCCCGATACCCGTTCAAGAGGGCACGTCGATACCATGTCACGATTGAGAAGCGGAAGGGGAAGATCCGGGTGTAAATAGGCGAAGGATCCGGGGAGATGTCATTCTATTTTAAAGGGGGGAGTGATTCCTTCGGACAATGCCTCACGGAAGGCCACGAGAGCGCAATGCGAACGCCACGTGTACACAAAAGAGCCAATCAGCGGCCGTTCGAGTGGCGGGGACGAGATGCAGGCGATATACTTCGGCATATGCTGGTTTAGTGATCGATCTCAGTCCACCCTCGGGGAAGCCCTTGCTAGTAAGTTGGGACCCGCGACGATTCGACGATTTCCATTCTCTCGCTCTCTCGCTATTCTGCAATCTCGATTGAAAGCGAGATAGAGAGAGAGAGAGAGAGAGAGATGAATCGAAAGTGACAAAGTGACAAAGGATGTTGGGTGTGTGAGGGATTGGGCGGTGAGTGGATGGACGCAGCGTGATCTCGCTGCTGCCATGTTACCGCTGATTGACCCCCTCCCCTGATTCCCTCTTTTGAGATTTTTTGAGTTTTTTTGTGTTTTTTACGCAATTTCTCTCGCCAATTTGAACGAGTCATGGAGGGTCGAGAGGGCATGGGTGTTTGCGGGGATTGATGAGGTGGGTGTGGAGGTCAGAGATGGAGAGGGTATATACCTTGATCATGCACATCACATTATATGTGGACAAGGGAAAGAGATGTGTTGGATTCGTCGATTGTGAAGGGGAGCAGGAGGAGCAATGTAATGATGGTGAGGAGCTCGTTGGGTTGAATTTCCCTTCAGGAATTCGGGTCCTTGTGTCTGATGTATTCTAGCTCCTGTTAAGGCCGCGGTTCGTCGATGAGGCTCCAGGGGGAGGATTTATTCGATCACATTTTCTTTTGGGATTTTGTTTCTTATGTAATTGTTGGAGTGCTGGTCCAACTGGGAGTATTTTTTTTACACGTACCCGGTTACTTCTTTTTGTATTTTTGATTTTTGTTTCCTGCTTTTTTCAATATTTATTTATAATATTGAGGTAATCCTGTCCAACGTCGTCCAGCCATGAGAGTATCAAGGAATAAGTTGCCTCTATCGATCACCATACCTGCATTTCAATGCGATTGTGTATACATGTGTTCTCAAGCTCCGCACCTGTCTAACATCGAAGCTCACGTAGTGTCTATGAAGTTGTCCGAGGTTGTCACTCTCACTTCCGGGACGCGCTTATTTTAATTTAATTTCTCTTATGCAAGGAATCAGCCTTCTTCCTAGTCACAGCCATGACCATGTGGACGTGGACATTGGAGTGAACAAACTCGTGGGTACTTTTTGTATAGCTTGTTGTGATCTTTCTTCGCTACGTTTTACGGGATGGTCCTATTCGAAGCGTATCCCTTTAGCATAATCTTTCGTGACCTTTCGAATTCCTAGACAACATGTACTAGAATCGGGCTCCAATCTATCATCTCTGACAATCTGTCATGTCCTGAGCATCCTGAGGGCGCCTTTGTTTCCACCATCCCGACTGAGGGTCCTACCGACTTTTGTTGAATTATCATTGCAATTCTTGCAGCTCTCAGTACGTACTCGCTTTGTATCAGTACCCATGTGTGAGATTTCTGTCAACAGTTGTTTGGGCTTACCTTGACAACTAGATAGCTCCATCTGAGGCTGTGATGCTTGGGCATTCTGTGACGGGTGGTACTTTCCAGTTTTAGTCATGGATCATGCCCTTCTCTACTTTATCATTACTGATTCTGAATGCGTCTTTCACCTCCTTTTTGACTTACTCACTTACGAATGCTCTGAGCCGGTAATGTGCAACGTAGTTCCTCATTATTTTTGAGGAATTATTCGAACATGTTGATGTGTATCTACGTGACGAAGATACGGTGGCTTTTATTCGAGAGAGAGAGAGAGAGAGAGAGAGACTGAGGGGCTAGTTCTTTTATGAGATGCTCAGTGTCCCCTTTCGGAGTTGCTGTAGTTTTCAAAGAGACAACGAACAACCAACTTACGGTACTAAGTTGTAAATTTTGTGCGATTGCCAGATGATAGGATAGTTTTGTACAGAAGGTCAAATCTTGAAATACACAACTTGGGTCGAAATTAATTCGAAAGCTTTCCTGTGCAGCTCTGGGGTGATGTGTCACGCGCTGCATTACTTCTTGGTTTCCACAACGCAAGCCGATTCGTAGAAATGCCGCACACGACAGGATTTGTGACTTACTGTGTTTCAAAATGGTAGTGTATTCTGCGAGCATGAAGCGTCGTTAACCCAAGGACAAGTAAGACGTCACTTCCCCTAGCAATGAACACTTTATTGAACTCCAAAGTGGGTTCAGGACATCCATAGTTTCAGCCTGGTTAGGTACCAAATTGCATGGGACGTAGAATGATGTGGAAAAAATAGGAGATTGAACCTTTCCGGTAAGGACATATGGCACCAACATTCCCACTATGAAGTCCACTCTGTGGTGCGAATCGCAGGTGCTGGAGTTCATTCATAATCCTTTCCTGGCTCATAATTGCAATCTGTTGCAACAAGGAAATGAGGCTAAATTGCAATGTGACGATGATAACTGTTGTTTCAACTATCTTATGAACGGTCGATTAGGTGAATCTGTTACAGTCTTGTTTGGTACCAGAAGCGTCACCTTACTGTTGATCGAGACTTACTTCGCACCATCATGTTGGTGTTGCAGACACCTGAGAAGCCATGTCGTACTTTGTACCACCATGCAACTATGGGATGGTAGAATACGACCTCAGCCGGTCTGGACAATGTCACCAGCTGAATTTCCCCTTTTTGGAGCGACTTAACCTTAAGACCGTCATTTACCTCTCCCATGACGAGCCCTCTCAGCCGTTGTAAGTCTCATTCTGTTGCACAAGTTCCATGCTTATTATCCTGATGTTTCGTCTTTTGCGCCATCTGCAATGGATATATCCCTCGGGAATGTTGAGGTTGACGAACAACTAGGTGCGTGTGAGCAGCTTGAGCTTCCTAGAGGATCAAGGAATTGCGCTAATCCGGCCGTTAGGTTTGCACTCTGACATTCCAGAAGCCAGTCCCATGTCTGAAGCTGAAGTCCTATTTGCTTTACAGGTGAACTCCTCTACCCTGCTTCTGACCCGATGTGAATTAAGTGTTTTTTTCTTTCCAAGTGGACTATGGACGGTGATCGATCGATCATCGGAATAATAGTTGAAGACCGTCATAAGGAATGGGGTGATAATGCTTACATTGAAATGTGATACAGGTTATTCTTTCTCCTCAATACTACCCACTTCATGTGATGTGCAATTTCGGACGCCACCGGACTGGTTAGTACCCTCATCACTCGTGTTTTTTTTTCATTGGACATGAATCTGACTGTTCTGGATAGATAGTTCCATTAAAACACGAGAGAATCTCACAATACTTCGTCCAGGCACAATTGTGGGTTGTTTGCGGAAGCTTCAGAGATGGAGCTTAACGGCGATATTTGAGGAGTACCGACGTTACGCTGGCACCAAAGTCCGCATGCTTAATGAACAGGTGGGATGTTGCTCATCAACTGGATTTCTACACCCGAGTCCAGTACGAGTCTTCGAGATATCGTTGGCGTTGTCCCGTGAACTCAAACTGGATGATTGGTAAAACGTAGTAATACTGGACAATATGTGCGTAACCTTCATCTTGAAAGTTGAGGCTATGGCGTACTAATACGAGAAAAGGCTTTGACTGCTGCAGTTTATCGAGTTATTCGACACTGACTTGGTTCGAATTCCAGTGGACCGCCCAACATGGTTTTGACATCTCCCAAGCAGGAATAGTACATGCTTTCGTGGCGTTTTCAGTGATCTCGCAAAGGAGTAGGCCATAGCAAAATATAAATAGGCAGGCCTTAACCCAGGAGAACTGTAAACGAGTGATATAAAATGGCTTAAATCGCGTAGCACTGTCTCGTTGAATTCGCACAGTTGACTGTCACGCAGAAATGCCATTATGCACATTTTCCTTCTCTATATACATATTATTCGTGGGTAGAAACGGAGGTACAGCTCTACAGATTGAGACATCAGGTCATTACAGAATGTAGCGCGGCTTGCCTTCAAACATGATCAAATGTAAGCTCTCAGGTAGAACTTCAATGACATTATCCTTTCATTCAACCAAACAGAACATGTGCATAGATACTTCTTCACAATCTGTGTTCGTTAATTTTAACTCTATTCCATTGATCGGGAAATAATGACGCACAGAAGAATGTCTTTAATTGTGGAAAACCCTTGAAAGAATTTTACCATCTTCGCTTACAGCGGCAGATGGAAATGAAATAATTAAAAATTCAGTTTGTCCTGAAATCTACCCTACCAACCAGTTGCGTGACCGGAGCGATGGAGTCCAAAAATTCGTCACATTTGACAGCTGAAGAAACACAATTTAAGGCTCGACAATATCAAAATATACAACAGTAGTATTGCCCCATATCTTTCAAAGTGAAGGCAAGACGACATACTACATAATTTATCACCCCATGTTCCTAACTACTGTCACAGAATGTTCCTGGACATTGCGACAACAATGCCTCAGTTACATGCTACCAGCTCGAAAAGGCGGATCATATCCCGAAGCTTGCAAATTCAATCGTCCTTGTAAACTAACTCTTCCCAGGAACCAATGAAAGTCTGGATTGGGCACAGGCAACAACTCTGACGAAAACGACTGCATACTTTGAGAACCAAGAGAGCCGTAATGCAGGTGACGGAACACACTAAGTAATACGCCAACAAAAGGGAGGAAAAGCCTCAACAGTACGAGGCCTTGCTTTCTTCCATTGACGAAGCATTAAAGTCATGTAAGAAAGTCACTTTCAGACGTGAAACAACATCAGTCAGCACCTTTGTGAGATTTAGAAAGTACCATAGTACAATCAAGCATGCCAACACTCAATATATTGTGAAGAATATGAAAAAATCGATAATAATCACATGAAGGGTGTGCAAATGCTCAAAATTGTGGTAGGTCAATACATTAATAAATTGATGCAAACCAACGTGAGAGGAAGAACTTCATCCAAAGCTCTAAAATCTTCATCGGTAGCGCTTGAGAGACAAGGTGTTGTTGCGCTTCCATGTGGCACGGATGGATGGACGAGCCTTGGTGTACAAATGACCTCTGCCGCGAAGACCACGGTACTTCTTTCCAGCGGAAGTCAATCCACGCAACTCACGGTGCTTGTGTACAGGGTTCACAATCCAGTTGATGCGGGGATCCTTGCGGATGACGGTGTGTTGGGGATCCACCAAGATAATTTCGAAATACTTGTAGGTAGAGTCCTGCGTATGAAATTGTGCTCGTAAAAATCCACTCTACTGGCAGTGGCTACAATGGAAGAGTCAAAGTATGACACAACAATCCAGAATGTCCGTGCACAGAAAATAGTAATCTCGCTGCTAGGAGCACTTAGTGAATAGAGTTAATAATGTCAGGGGAAACCTTAGGCATGAGGAATGGAATGTTAAATCACTTAGACGTAATTTACGTGTTATATCAGCCATATTTTACATTCATAAGAACTTGCAGTTGTCGGTTATGCCTTATCACTAACCTTGGGGAAAACATGGACATAGACTGAAAAAGAAAAATAATAAGAAAACACTGATGTAAGTGACGCGAAGAAGCGGATTACATACCTGGTTGATCCAGTAAGAGTTGAGAACCCTGAGCCCACCAAGCTTGCGTCCAGCCCGCTCCTCAGCAACAGACCTCAAATTACGCTGGAACTTGAGCTGTGTAATACCCTGGTTCTTAGGTTTTCCATACACAATACCCTTCGCCACTGGCCTCTTCCTGCCTCCACGGCGAACGCGGACACGGTACACCACATATCCCTACACAAGATAATGACACCAATGTCAAGAGTAGAACAGGAGTAAACACTTGAAATTATGAAGAATTCGAAATGATGCCCTAAAAAGATAGAGTCATGACAAAGCCGCAGCTGAAAATAAATTGAAGTCGTGGAATAAGCACCATCGCAACTCATTTCGCATAGACCAAAGCAGCAGAGACCCTAAGTCCGGTCTCAAATCCTAACTTCGAAACAAGCTACTCCACGCAGCCTACAAGAACAGATTCTTTCATGGCTTTCGACGAAAACTCGAAAGATTCAGATGCAAGCTGACCTGCTTGGCCTTATACCCTAGGCGGCGAGCCTTGTCGGGACGGCTAGGGCGAGTGACACGGACAATGCCGGGGAGCTGCCTGTACTCCCAGCAGCGCACACGCAGCAAGAAACGCAGCACATCAGACTGCTTCTTCCTCCACAGCTCCTCGATGTACTTGTACGCACCTGGAGGAAATTTAAAAAAAAAAAAAAAAAAAAAAAAAAAACTCCAGTTAGATCTCGATCACACTGCGCAAACCTCAAAAGGAAAGGGAAAAAAATAAAAAATAAAAAAAATAAAAAAACGCAGCTACGCAGCTACGCAGCGCTAGAGAGAGAGGGAGCTGGGAATGAATACCCATGGTGAGAGAGAAGAGCCGCGTCTGCGAGAGAGCGTGGCTATGGTGATGAAGAGTAGAAAAGGGCCTCCCCAAGCGAAATGCTGCCACATTAAAGCTCCCCTTCGCGCTTCGCCCTAATCTGGCCCATCCAGGTGTCCTTTTTAGGTCCCGTCCTCTTCGCCCACACCTGGATTTTGAAACCTGTCTGAAACGATTTTTAATACTTGTTTATTCTGATAGCACTCTGATTGGATGTGTGTGAGAGAGGCTCAATATGTGATCTTGGTTTTTAGATTTAAGTTTTCGTTGGTAATTAGTAATAAAGATGTTGAAAAATGGGGCAGAGAATGATCGTCAAAGAATTTTGTTGAATTGTTTAGATTTTTACGTGTTTGTTTGTTTTTTTTTTTTTGTTTGTTTAGGGTTTAGGGTGAGACTTCCAAACCCTGTTTACAGACTGTCAAATAATTCCATCATTGCATCACATATTGTTTGGACTTTTTGTTTATTGATTGATTCATGCCATCTTTTTTCTGTTCTTTTTTCTGTTCTTTTTGGATATGCTTTTTCTGTACTCTGATGACCACAAACCCATGTCAAGATTAAGTTGAAGAATTTGACTAGTAGTAAGTAAATAACTTTATTCAACTCAATGACTTTTATATTTTTGTGTTTTGGTTCCTTTCATTATTTTTATTTATTTAAATTGAATTGTTAAAAAAATTATGGTCCCACGGATTTTACTAAATGTTATGAAGCCATTGTGATTCTAATGTTTGAAAAATAAATTGAATACACAAATGTGTTTATATTTGTGTGAGAATGAAATTTGTGAGAACCCACTTACAAATAAAAAAAAAAAAATACTTGTTAGCACTGAAATTAAATCAAGTAGTACATGTCGTGTCAGTATTTATTTTTGTCAGACACTTTTGTTTATAGTTTAGATCATATTCTCTTTCAATATAGGGTTCTATTACCTGGTTTTATATTTATACTTTTATCAACAAGCATTTTGAAAGAATTAAGAGGATATTTATAAAAATCATGTAAGATGTTTACAAAGAATCTAGAAGTTTATATTCACATAATTAGATCTTATGTGCAAAACAAACTTGCTTGACATTTGTATCCACAGAATGTTTGTAATAACTTAATTGTTTTATAGTAGAAAATTAGACGTACATTTGATTGTAAATGTATTCAATCAGTAGAATATACTGTAAATGTTTTAGAGATTAAAGATTTCTGGATTTTTTTAAAGTGGACCTTAATACTCATTCATAAATATACATCACATTCCTGTAGCTTTACTTTTACTTCCATACAAGGGAACTGAATATTTTTTGATGGTGACGTGGCATTTGATTGGTTTTGATGGGGTTAATATCATTCACAAATGCTAAGATGAAATTTAAAGGGGTCTTTATATTTAGAGGAAAAAGTACGAGGTTGCAACTTTTAAATTCTTCAGTTGATTGAAATTGAGAAGCATGTGTATTTTAGCCAATCAAAGGATTTTTAAATTTGTGGCTACTGACCTTGTCCTCTAAGTGTTAAGACCCCTTTATTGATCATTCCAAAACTTTCGCTACCTCATGTTTATTGCTATGAACAATCATTTAAAGATACTTAAATAAAACATAAATTTAGGAAAAATATAATAATATGATATTTTTTTTGGTTAATACTTCAGATCTATATAATAGGAATTCAATCTCCAATAATATTTTTACAATAATAAGACTAGTTTTTGGAAACATTCCTTGTCTGTGATGCTGTTCTTTCCCAGCAATACCAAAAACGCCCCACATGCTGATGAATGTGGTGGCTCCGATTCTGCTCTCATACTCAAAAACTCATCCATTAGAATGTATTCATTCATCCACCGGAGGGTCCTCTAGCTTCTTCGGCAGGAGAAACTTATTCGCGTCTTTCGATGTTTCTGATGAATTCTCGAATGCCGAGCAGGATTTTTTTTGTAGCCGAGTTTAGTGCGTCGTTCGAGGTTTTCACCGAGTTTTGTAGTGTAAGTGGCTTGTGGTTTACGACTGCTTGCTTGGTCGGATTAGCTGTGAATTCGACAGTCTGCTCCTGCGCTTAAGTTTTGTTAAAATTTGGGGTTGAATTGACATATTTTCCATGCAGAGATTCCGCTGCTATTGGATTGGTCTGGTATTACGCAGTGTGATAGGATATGGATCGAAACGGGATACACTTACTGGATATTTTTCAATCGCGTGTACATGATGTAGAACTGATGTCGTGTTAACTCATTGACTGAGACGAAGTTGCTTGAACTTTGACTTTTGATTCATCGGCCGTATTGAATGTCGAGATGGCATTCACTATTGATTCGATTGCGGTGAATTTTGCGCTATGATCTAGATTGATAATTTTCCCTCCACGACTATCGGAACGTCATAGAGTTACTTCTTCTTACTACACTCGTCTGGGTTGATGCATCACGTTGTGATTGGTCCCCTGGAAGATAGCACGACCTACTACTGTAAATGTGGAGGTGTAGGGGCAGAATACAGGTTAAAGACCCTTCCACTTCTAGGGCCAGATGTTCCCATCAAGTTTGCAGTTGTTGGTAAGTACATGTCAAAGCCCCACATATTTCTAATTATTACACGCACACGGTACGGAAGAAAGAAACCCTAAGCAGTCATCAAAAACTTTTTGTGGCGAACTTATGAGATCGCTTATATTCTTATTTTTCTTCGTACTGACTGCAGAGTGGGTACAGAGACATTTACTTTCTTATAGTGATTTGATGTTACAAATTATACTCAATAGATCACAAGGATATCACCTCTCAATGGTTTTATACAGGTGACTTGGGTCAAACCGAATGGACGAAATCTACCCTGGAGCACATTGGCAATTCCAATCATGACATTCTGGTATTTGCTGGAGATTTATTATACGCCGACTACTACCAGCCATATTGGGATTCATTTGGTGAATTTGTTGAACCTTATGCGAGAGCGAGACCTTGGATGGTAACAGAAGGTAACCACGACATGGAGTCTGTTCCAATTTTTATGGAATCATTTCGTGCTTACAACACAAGGTGGCAGATGCCTTGCATGGAGAGTAGTTCAGATTCTAATTTGTACTACTCCTTCGAAGCTGCTGGGGTTCATGTTATCATGCTGGATTCATACACAGACTTTGACGTAGACTCTGTCCAATTCAATTGCCTAAAGCTAAAAAAGTTTATTTCTTTCTCTGCAGATGTTTTGTTTTCAGCCTGCTCGACTTTGTTTCTACGTTATCTACATTGCCATCGTCATTGTATTTATTTACTTAGAACACACTATTGCAAATTGCAGGCGGATCTTAAAAAGGTGGACAGGAGCAGGACGCCATGGCTCATTGTGATTCTGCATGCTCCGTGGTACAACACAAATTATGCTCATCAGCATAACGGAGATGCTATGAAGAAGGCAATGGAAAAAGTGCTGTATGAGGCACGTGTAGACATCCTTGTTGCGGGTCATGTACATGCCTATGAGCGCACGGTAAAATTTCTTGCGTTGGCCTCTCTTCTTACAAATGACACGCTTGTTGTCAATGTCAGATGACACATATACAGGTGTCTCAGCTTATTGAAGAGCACGTTAAAAATATTCGAAGTCAAGTAGTTCTGAAGCGTTATGGTTAAATTGTATGCATACTTGAAATCTCAAGCTGTTGATCATGGATGATTTTACCTTACTATCTTTCTAGGCACGCCTTGTTGCCATGTACTGATTGTAGTATCGGCTGTGGATGTTGGGGAACAGACACGGGTCTATGACGATAACGTGGATCCATGTGGAATTGTTCACGTTACCGTTGGAGATGGAGGCAACCGGGAAGGATTGGCTAGGAAGTGCGTGTTGTATTTCCCAAAATTAACTCCTAATGCAAAGATTTATTTCGGGTTCCTTCATGCTGCAATTTGTTAGGTTATGATGGTGATTCCAGCTTGCGGTTAGCCCTATTCATTTCTAACCGAGCCAGGACCTGTATGTTAGTTGTCACCTAAGTTTTGTGTGCGCATTACGTGCAGGTTCTTTCGGGATGCACCAGACTGATCCGTATTCCGAGAGGCAAGTTTTGGACATGCTGAGGTCGATATTGGGAATGCAACTCATGCGCATTGGACTTGGCACCGTAACGATGATGATGAAGCTGTTCTTGCTGACGAATTTTGGATAAAAAGCCTTAGTGCTGGTCATTCAGAATGTTTCTTCCAAGAATCCAGCACCAGGAGGATTTTGTAACCTGGATCTTTAAGCCTAGAGAGAGGTACGTAACATACTAATTAACCAACTTTAGCTGTGTAAAAATGCATTATTGAAGATTACCATTTCTGTTTATGAGGAACAATCCCGCACCCGAAGAAGCTTGGAGACCGTCATGGATGGTAATTGCAAACTGGATATCAGTTTTCTTAATTCTGTTTACTGAATTATGAGACTAGTGTTCATATTTCTTTGTGTTGAATTGATTGGAATCACAATTGCCCTCTTTTTAAGTGGTATGTGTAATATGAATTGGTAGAGGGCTAGAGGCTATGAAGTATAAACCCATTTATGAAGTGTCTGCTGCAAACTGTTTCAAATTGCCTAGTATAACTGGAGGTCAGCGTGTACAGCATACTCTTTGATGCATCGGGCATCACTTTGCCCTACATGCTGAAAGTTCTTTAAAGAAGTATTGCATTAATCTTACTTTCGTTGTCCAGGTGCACACCAAACCTTTTATTTAATCCTATCTTCACGGAATAATACTTTTCCTAATCAGCATCGCATCTTATGACTCACAGGCCTCATCACTAAGTCGTCATCACCAATATAGGAGGAAAACGAAACACAACAAATTTTTTGAATGCAAATGATAGCGACAAAAATAATTTAAAGAGCGTTTTCTTTGAAAAACCATCTCACAAATCCGATTCTGAAGAGCGTTCACAATATGACATCACCTTTGAATTTCGACCTCACCCATATTGGTGAGTTCACTACTCGAGTCTGTAGACATTGTTGGACGTAACGACTACAAGCAGTCATCGTTGTCGTCTAGTTCTGGAGACAATGTCTATATTGCAGAAAGGAAAATTGGAGTTTACCTTCGACGTGATGCTTATCATTTGTTTACAATCCGAGCTGGTCATTACCATGTTTCAATATTGTGCTGCTTGCCTCGATCTCATAACTGCTGTCTGTAATTCCTGGATTCCGTGCAGAGCGGCTCAATTTTATGAACATGGAGTTGGTTCGCAGCAGGGCGGTTGATTAGCGACAGAAAACGATTAAGCGGTACGCAAGGAATGTTCTTCTGGGGATACTTGCGAGCAGGCACCACTCCTGTATCGAATGCAGATGCTCCGGACTGTGAGCGATTCCGTCTGGTGGGTGAAGGGAATTGTTTACAACAGGAGGAGGTGTATCGGGGGGGGGGGGGACCCACTTGAGTGTGAGGGCGGAATCGGTGGCAGCATTGGAGTTCGGTGGAACGCATGCCCTTCACATGGAAAAAAATAAAACTCCAGCGCATCTTGTGAGTCCCGTGTGATGCCGATCTGTACGTGAACGCAGCGGCGTTATGCAACCAAAGTGGCGATGAATGACTGCATCACGCAAATCCTGACCCGTTTTGTTTTGTTTGTGTTTTTTTTTCATGCCTGGCTCTCGCTGCAATTTCCGTCTCGTCCCTATGGCTGTGCTCCGCCATGGGCGAGGCGGCAGATATGCTGTGCGAAGCACAAGACATTGTGTACGAGTACAACATATCCCACAATCTTCTTTATCTGTTTCCAGGGTTCTTTCAGAAACGAACGCCAGATTAAAATTATTTTAGTCGAAACTGGCATGCTTTTGTTTGCAATGATAATAAAAATGATTATTTGGTGGTTAGAATTATACATTGATCCTACCCATCTATGTGCAATTAGTGCATCCTCAAGAGTACGTTTGAAATGTTACAGGACACATCCAATAACCAAAATTTAATAAGATTTATGCATAATTGGTTCATGTCAACATTGCTCACTACACAAGTCAGTTAACAATTTTTAATTATATTTAGATTCTAACTAGTTTGCACATGTGCAAAACCACTACTATTATGCAATCCAATTTGTCCATGCGATGTTTCCATCTAAACTAAGTCAAAGTGGCACAGCCACTCATGGGTAACATCTACAAATTGACATCACATTCTTCGAATTCCACATCCCTCCTCCCAAATAAATAAGTGCAAACTGTTCTAGGGATCTCGAAGGTGCGTTGGAAACACCCAAGCATACCTCCATAACTTTTTGGCAGTATCACCATCAACCCATGTATGTTGTGCCACAAAATTTCTTGAAATTTTAAAATTTATTTACAACATTGCTGAAATAATTATTTTACAGTTTGAAATTGATGTGTTGATTTTATTGTGTTGGAAGTTTGAATGTGTGTGGTTAATTATGCATTGATTGCAACATATGATATAAAGTAAATATATAAACATTTGAAAAATAAACCTTAAAATGATATATATTATGATTTGTTTGTTTGTTCTTGTTATGTAAATCGGAACAGATGATTGTTGGCCTGTAACTGTGCAAAAGAAATATTTTTCTTTATTCTTTTTAAGTATTAAAATTTATAGATAATATTTTTTTGAAAGAATATACAGATGTTTATAACGTAATATATATATATATATATATATATATATATGTTATTTATAATGTTACCACAATTTTTGCTACCATCATTATAATCCACCACCCACTCAATATATATTTTTAGTTTTTGATTCAATTAAAAAATAGTATTCTCTCTCTCTCTCTCTCTCTCTCTCTCTCTATATATATATATATATATGTATCTACACATGCATAATGCACCATGTGGTAGAAGTAGCAAAAGGAAAATTTTGATAAATTTTTTCATAGAGTTGTGGCAATATCAATTAATTGTATAGATGTTGAATTGTGGTGGCATTAGGAATATCCTATTCATATGTAGTTTAACTTAATCATTTATTTATTCACATAAAACTATTTATATATCAATTAATTATATAGATGGACAAAGTGTACTTTAAAGTACAATTATTGCTACTTTTGTAAACTCATAAAAATAAATAACTCAAAAGTAAAAAAATTCTATACAATAAATAGATTTCACTCAATTTAACAACCATTCAAGTCAAGAATTTAACAACCATCTACATATATATATATATATATATATATATATATATTTTCCTGAAAAAAAAGCTTATATGTACATATATATATATATATATATATATATATATATTTTCCTGAAAAAAAAGCTTATATGTACATATATATATATATATATATATATTCCCACATATATACATGTACTATATGTAATACATGCATATATATATACACATGTATATACACTGAAGGATAAAGTTCAAGTGGTGAACATGAATGTGACATGAATCCAAAATTGGACAGCGAAAATGTGAAATGTGGATCTGCATGTGGGGTTGAGATAATCCACAATTGCAAACACACGAAGAAGTTTTTTTTTTTTTTTTTTTTTTTTTTTGTCATAATGGCGTCGTTGTTGTAACGGTTGCATGCGTTGCCACAACTTTCATGTACCGATTATGATACGCATTCGGTGAGGAGCGATGGGACCTGATCCTAGGGGTGTAGTTTACCTTGCAGTGGAGATATCTAGCAGGCTGATAAGCCTCAGCTACTGCGCACACTAAAACCGTGACGTCCAAAAAATGATGGGTATTGTTGAGTGGGCATGCGAGTTAAATGATGCATTCATGACGTTCTCGAGAGCTGCACCCGAAGAAAAATACAACTCTTTTTCTTGCTAATAAAAGTCAACTAGTAACACTGAGCCTTCTTCCATGCACACGTTCAATGAAGGTGGGGATACCGACTATGGGTTATAGATCAGCTGGTTTAACTTGTGCATATCAACGACTCGGGATTGGATCCTGATCTGGATTGGAGGAGATGGTCTCTTTTCCAGTAAAATTGGATACTGTAACCAAGTTGGATGGGAGGTAGCTGTGGCCTCCCAGATGACCTATTCATTGCACAAAAGCCACTGCAGCGGTTAGCCCTAGTGCGCTTTGTAGAACGTGCGGCGCATCGACTTATTCCGGTCGGCTCACTCAATGCGCCGCACATGGATCAAATCCACTGTCTGCGGTAAGGAAGGCTTTAGCAACAATCGATTGGCGGTATGATTCCGACGCCTGGTGCGCATCCTTTGACTGCCTCCTTACAGTGGCTAACTATTTACAAACTGCGTTGCGACAGGGTGAAGCAGAAGTTGTCATGAGGCTCAACTTCGATAGTCTCACTCAGTGGGCGATCCCATCGGATTACTGTTGACATGGTAGGGCCATTTTACCCATCGAACCATTCACCTATTAGCAGGATGGCAGACCAGCGGGAAGGATGTGGAGGGATATCATGGTATCATGCTCTTGGAGCCTGCTCAGCGGTCGCTGTACACGGCCCAAAGACGTCATCTCCATGAGCAGATCCATCAAGGATTCCCTTCGGCCGTTCCATCTGTGCACAAGCCCTCACTCTGTTCGCCATCTCCACGGGGATTTGCTTACCAATAAGCACAGTTAATAGTATAACTCCGTAAAAGTCGGGTGGCTGTCAAACTTGGTGGTTACTGTGCGTGCGTCAGCAGTTGGTGGTGGAGGTGGGATTTGTTGGACTCTACCGACGAAACAGAAGCACTGGGAGCGCAGTCGATCGTTCCCAGAGCTTGGAGCCCTAGTGGGTCTACTGGTGGCGTGGAACATGCTGTCGGATTAATTTTTATTTTGAAGTGGTCACGATTTGGGTGCTTATGAGTTAGTACAATAATGCGTAATCCATGATACCTAATGCCCCAATTCGCTTGCCGCTGGAAGCTCCTTAGACCTTTAAAAGCCTGCAGCGGCTTTAAATGTAGCTTTAGAGAGTACTGCTGGACAGTTTCAGGGGGCAATCACAGAACAACTGGCTGAGATCCCTTGGAATCCGGCCGCCTACTGCTCTGGCAATTGCATTTCAGTTTTATTTCCTTACTCTTGGGAAGTAAATAGAATCTAAGTTAGCTGTCTCTTATCTTTGAGCTCAACATTTGTAACTAGTGAAACTGCAATTTCGCCAGTTCTTCCACTTGATTGCTGACGCAGGTGCCATTCACTATAGAGCTTCGGAAAGGAACTGTTATTCGAATCACAACCTCCACATCGCTGGAGCTGTCTGACATAGCTTTTAAACTTTTTTGGTAGCGTTTCCGAGCACATTTTGAGCTTCATCGTGTGCATGAATCTGAAACTCTGCGATTGTGTACTTCAGCAATCTGCGGATGATCATTTAATCAAGGTCGTTTACTGCCCCTATTTACTACATTTCTTTAGAGGGATTAACATACGTCGACGATAACTGCGCGTCCTAAACGGCTTGTAAGGATCCTCGAATTAAGCTCGACATTGGCCGGATTGCAGCAGCTATGGCAGTTTCGAAGCCATTCGGCAGGAGGTTCTTGGGGTTTGCAGTCCCACACTGGGTATCGAAAGTTGGACCGTCGACACCGAGATCGCCACAACAGTCTACGGAGGGTGCCCCCAGCTCTGTAAATCACCACTCCCGCGCGGCAAACATTGTGGTGATTGTCTTCGCGGTTGCAACTTTCGTTACCATAATGATATTTGTACTGATTTTACGGCGGAACAGACTGCGTGAGCAGACATCCAATGCAGCCGATTCAGTGGTGAATCAACAGAAGAGGGAAGGGCAAGAAGAGGAGTCGCAAAGCGGGGAACGGAAGTGGAGCGCCGACACAGTGGAGCTTGTGGTGATGGCTGGCGAGACCCAGCCAACGTTTTTGGCTCACCCGCGCCCTGCACCATCGACTAATGTTATTTAGAGCCCTCCTCTTAAACTCCCAAACCCACAGTGACGAAGGGTTCTCCTTCTCATACAAGTACAATTTTGTGTGCAGACATCGATTTTCTGCACAGAGAGTGACACATGCGCACGCCGCAGTGTGAGACCTATTCGGCTTGCAAAGAGGGAAACTGTCTTGTTATACTGACAAACGTAGTCTTGTACAAACGATTTGATCGATCGAGTGTAGTAGTTTTGATTCCCGTTTACAAGAGTGGCGCCTAAACACAGGAGCTGAGTACGACTATTGGAGGAGGTGAGGGTTCTCCTGGAGGAACAACACCTTTAAAAGATCGAGTTGCAGGCGATCGATTGCAGGTAGAGCTTGAAAACCAGCGATTGTTGTTGGAAGTGACGAAGCACTTCCTCTCCTGTATATCATCCAGCTCTGGAAGTAAACGAATAGGGTTAGTTCGTAGTCTCCTTGTTACGAATGCCTAACCGCACCGTAAAACGCATTAAGATCCACTACTGCATAGACATTCGGAGTCACTATACATAACTAGCAACATGTAACTCAAATCATCTTTTGGAATCAAGCTCTATTTATAACATGGTATCAGTGCGGCCCTAGTCCTGACGAGAGGATAGACTATGAGAGCTTTAGTGTACATCCAGAGATCAATGTAGGCAATACAGAGAATACTGAGAATTTCTCCTTCTTCCTCTCTAGAATCGTGAGTTAATTAGAGGTAACACTGTGGAGTAGCACTGCGACAATTTTTTTTTTCTTTTTTTTTCCTTCAAGAATAGCACTAGAATTGTGAGGAAATCAGAGGTAGTACTAAAGAGTAGTTCTACGAAACTTTGTCTCTCGTACCAAGATTGGCACTAGCATTGTAAGTTAAATCAAAGACAGCACTGTAGAGTTATACTGCGAAATTCCTCTCTTACACTAAGATCGTGAGAAAGAAGCTATCAAAGACTTCACTACAAAAAGAGAGTAGCATTGCGATACTCATCTCTTGCACTACAGCGATAGGATCGTA